CGAGCAGGGAGCCCGATGCGGGACTCGATCCCGGGACTCCAGGATCATGACCTGAGCCGAAGGCAGTCGCTTAACCAACTGAGCCACCCAGGCGCCCAGTTCTTTATTTTTTTTAAATATGGAATGCTTCATGAATTTGTGTGTCATCCTTGCATGGGGGCCATACTAATCTTCTCTGTATCATTCCAGCCTTAGTATATGTGCGGCCAAAGTGGGCACAAATATAGAAGTTCTGAACTTGGAGTCTGTAGATAGACTCCAATAGTTTTTTTGTTTGTTTGTGCATGTTTTTGCTCTTGTTTGGTGGGGGGTGGTGATCACCTGTGTGATTAGAAATTTTAAAAATCACATCTTTATTTTTAGTTATATTTAATTTTATTTCCTCTAGAGGAAATATAGCATTTCTTTCAATTACAAATGTAGATGACAAACCTTATTACTATTGGCAACTCCTGTGACTTTGTCACCAATAGACATAATAGAAATCTGTTGTTGTTGAAGTTAACCTGACGTATTTATACTTATGGCCACCTTGAAATAACAATCATCATTAGACCTACTGAGAAATCTGTTATTTAATGTATTAATAAGAAAGAACACATATGGGGACTCCTGGGTGGCTCAGTTGGTTAAGCATCTGCCTTCAGCTCAGGTCATGATCCCAGAGTCCTGGGATCGAGCCCCGCATCGGGCTCCCTGCTCAGCGGGGAGCCTGCTTCTCTCTCTGACTGCCACTCCCCTGCTTGTGTTCTTGCTCTCTCTGACAGATAAATAAAATCTTAAAAAAAAAAAACAAAGAGCACATATGACCATATCACATTTTTTAAATTATTTGATAATAGCATTTTAATGTAATTGGTTTGCTTTGTAATTATTTGTACCTTAATATTTTATTTTAGGTATTTAAACCATTAGACATACATAGGCTTGAACAGACTGCCAAAGGGTTCCATTGCATGACCTCTCACTTGTACACTCTGAAGAGTTCTTGTGCTAATTTATACAATTATATAACAGCAGAAACTTTATTTTGCAATGTATGCTCCTTGAAAAAGGATTTCCTTTGCTGTATGTACCCCTTGACAAAGAATTTGTTTTGTAATATGTGCCTTGAAAAAGAATAGGTTGAGTTTTTAAAAGGCCTTGCCGTACCTCTTAAGTCCTATCTGCTATTAAAGAACATACTCTTTCTGGGTTTTATTTTAACGATGTAGAAGTCCAGCCATACACATCAGGCTCAATGAGTTATAGAATTTCCCTTGTGGTTTGGTTGTTGTTTTTCTCAATAAAAAACCAAGGGCATTACATTGCATTAAAATGCTACAGAGCAAAGATATCTCCTGAGAGTTTCACTGACAAATAATTTCTGTGAAGTTTACTTGATATCTTAACTGTTGTTGCATCCATCTGAAAAGACACCTAAAACAAGACAAAGTTGTTTTTTCTTCTTCCTGCAATATTTGAATTTTACAAGAACAAGTTGTAATATAGTCTAAGCATATGAAATGAGAATATTTAACATTGCTAGTTTGATTTCAATGCATCGTGAGTATAGTTCTTTAAAATGAAGAGAAACAATTGGACATCACCAACATCCTTGCACCTCCTGTTTTTATAAGTATTCTCATTAAATACTTTAAAAAAAATTTATTTATTTATTTATTTATTTATTTATTTATTTATTTATTTGAGAGAGAAGTAGAGAGAGCACAAGCAGGGGGAGAGGCAGAGGGAGAGGGAGAAGCCGACTCCCCGCTGAGCTGGGAACCTGATGTGGGGCTCCATCCCAGGACCTGGAGATCATGACCTGAGCCAAAGACAGATGCTTAACCATCTGAGCCACCCAGGTATCCCCTCGTTAAATTCTTTAATTACATTATATTATTGGAGGGCAGAAACACAATCTATGGAGTCACTCTGACTAATATTCAAATATGGCTCTGCCATTAGTCTTTAACCTTGAAACTGTTAACTAATATATCTCACACTGTTCTTGTTTATTAAATGAAAATTATAGCAGGTAAGTAACATGACTGTTTAAAAATTAAATGAAAAAAATATATATATACACTGTATATCTGTATATGGGTATATACCTATATACAAATATATACATACACACACATTCTCAGACACACACACACACGTGTCCTGAAAAGAGTAGGGCATAAAGTAAGTGTACATAGTAAGTGCAAGATAGAGAGCAGACATTGCTATGATTTCTAAGTCCTTAACTCCGAACAATCAGCAAGGCTGATTTTTACTTTTTTATAGAACAAGTTCTTTTAGAACAAGGTAATTCCACTACATGCCTTTATTCAGTTTTTATACCGTCCCATAGCATGTAATCAAGTACACTATTGATTGATGAGTAAATCCGTAATTTAAGGAAACAATGAAAATTTAATTGAAATCTAGAGTCATTGTGCTTTTGTGGCAAGTGCTAATTAAATTTGCTTAAGAATTTTGACTATCTCTTAGGTCCTGGGGATCTAATAAGTTGTAAGACCTTCTTCAGTAGCTCATAATCTGGAAGAGACAAGAGAGAAGTAAATCATAATTTCACTATAATGGAATAAATGATAGCATAAGACATGTTCCTAGGTCAGAGAAAGTAACAAACTTTGTCTAGAGATGTTGGGGAAACTTCCCAAACATTGTAACAATAAATTGAGACTTGGAGTTTTAGAAAATTCTGTGAAGGGAAAAGCAAAGATTGAACGCAAGGAGAAGAATGAGGGGTAAAGATAGATATAAGTGAATGTTGAAGTATTGTCCACATGTTTTGTTTTCAATAAATGGTACTTTTTCTCTCCAAGCACCCAGTGGAAATGAAAATACAAATTACATCAATAGGAGACTTAGAAATCTGTAAGAAACTTTTAGAAAAAATATATTGCTAACATTCAGGATTGGCAAGGATGCAGTGAAATGAGCAAGCTCTAAAATTATGGAAGGGAGAGCAAATTGCTATCACTTTGCTGGTGGGGCCATTTGACAATTTATATTAAGGTTTTATAAATGTTCACATCCTTTAGCCTGGTGACTTCATTTCTTGGAATCTATACTAAGAGACTAATCAAATGTATACAAAAACTTGTAAGGCAGATTTGTATTACAAATGATATACAATACCTCAGGGACTAGAAACAACCTAAATATTTGACAGGACAGAAGGGGGTAAATAAATAATGGTACAGACATACACTAGGACACTTTGCAGCCATTAGAAAACATGTTTGTGTAGAACATTTAATGACATGGCAACATGCTCATAATATGATAAGGATTGCAATAGAGTATAATAACATACACTTTAGACACAGAAAGACCTGAGTTCTTGTCATATCTTCATCACTATCTGTATAGCCTGGGAAAACTTAATGAAGTTATCTAAGCTTCAGCCTCTACACTTGTAAGATGGGTAAAAAAAAAAAAAAAAATAGTGCTTGTTCTACAAGGTTGCTTTCAGGGCTCATTAGGAAAGCATTTAAAGAGTTTATTTAGTACCTGGCATCTAGAAGGGGTAAAGACTGAATAATGATAGCTGTGATATATGATGATGATTTAATTTTAAACTGCTGTTTTTCTTCTGTTTCATAAAAATGGTTCTTCTACTGCTCTCAGATGTCATTTGTATGCTTTCTATCATATTTAACATGAGCTTGTTTGGGTAATAGCCCTACTGTATCCTTATATTTTGCATGCAGAGCACATAGTAAAGGCTTCAGATGCCCACAGCTCTGCCTTCTAGAGGCTTTTTCTGATCTTTGACTATTACTGGATATCTACCTTCTGTAAAATTAGCTATTATGTTATCTAGTAGGCAATATTATAGCACTGCTGAGTTGGAGTGGAGATAAGATAATAGCAAATAACCTATATAATACTGACTGCCAGGAATTATGCATTTATACGTAGGCTAACTCATTTAATTTTCATAGCAACTACATGAGGTAGGATTGTTATAATTCTTATTCCACAGATGAGCATACTGGACAGATTAGTTAATTTGTCCAATATCACACAGATAATTAGTGGACAAGTGCGATTTAAGCCCATGTGGTCTGGCCCCAGAGTCCATGAATCACTAACGCGCTAAACTGCCTTCTTAAGGGATTGCACTGTAAATCCATGCAGACAGACACCATACTAGACTTCTTAGTATTGAAACTCCCCTTCCTACCACTGTGATTGGTACAAAGTAGCAACTCAATAAATCTTGCCCAAAGCAGGCCTGGCCAAAGTGAAGAAGATGGATATCAAATTCTAAATGCAGTCTGTTGCATGCAGTACTCCTGATAATCACTGCGCAGCTGTTTTATACATCCAGGGCTCTCAGGTAAAGTATCTACTCTTGAGACTGTACCATAACACAGTTCTCCATCTTATTAGCTTTCATGCTAGAGCATTCCTGTTTGTGGTGGAAACATTATTTGCCAGCCATTTGGCTAATCATTTTTAAATCATGGAAATAATCAACCTAAAACAATTTTATGACTTCCAAATTATTTTTTTTCTTATTTTAATTATATAAGTACTACAGTCTTTTATCACCCCCTTTTCCAAATGTTTTCTAACAAAACAAATGTATTTTTTTGTCTCATTTTATACTTAGAAAATTCACGGCTTTGTGGTGGCATGTGGCTACAGATCTCAAAGCTGAGAGCATGATTTTGGCTCTTGTTTTCAGTTTGCTTGACTGAATAGTTTATAACTACAATTTCAAAACTCCTTAGAAACATGAAACAGTCTTTGCCAGGAGTACAACTGCTTTCCATCTAAAATGCCAGCATTTCAGTGTGTCTTGCAACATTTTAATTAGTTTGCTTATGGAACCAAATACACTCATAAAACACGGAAGGCAAAAGAAAGTCTCCCTCACCATAATTACTTTTTGCAAAGGATTTACTTACATTTTTATAATTATCCAAGTGTTTTTGTACAGAGAAGTTTACATTTTAAATGGAAAATTATACCTCCATAAAACCCACTGCAAGTTAGCAGCTTTAATATAAGCATTCTAATTCTCAGTACAGTGCACTCTTGATACTATTGTGGGATCACACACTGGTTGTTTAGAAAGATAGATTTGCTATAGCAACCTGTTAAATTTGAGTTATTGCCAGAAGATTTGTTGTCCTTTAATGTAGCATTCTGTTGTCAGAGGAAGTTCAAGCTGTACACATTATTTGCCAATGGTTTAAGAAGCTCAGAAT